TTGGGGCCGGGATTTTGGGGTTTTCCACGGGAGTTCTTGAGGGAATTCCGGGTTTTTCCTGCTGGAAGTTCAGCTGTTCCCCGGGAATTCTGATTCTTCCTGCAGGAATTCCAGCTTTTTCCACGGGAATTCCGGCTTTTCCATGGGAATTCTGGGATTTTCCAGCAGGAATTTTGGGGTTTCCAAAGGGAATCCCCCTTGGCCCCCCGGGAATTCGGGCCCACAGGAATTCCACCTTGACCCACTGGAATTCAGGCCTTTCCAGCAGGAATTCCACCTTTTCCCGTGTGAATTCCACCTTTTTCCACAGGAATTTTGGGGTTTTTCCATGGGAATTCTGGGGTTTTCCTGCAGGAATTCTGGACTCTTCCGGAAGGAATTCCGAGGTTTCCATGGGAATGCTGGGGGTTTAGGGCCGGGATTTTGGGGTTTTCCACAGGAATTCCAGCTTTTCTCATGGGAATTTTTGAGGGAATTCTGGGGTTTTCTTGCAGGAATTTTGGCTTTTCCCAGAAGAATTCCACCTTTTCCCGCGTGAATTCCAGGTTTTCCCGCAGGAATTCTCAGGTTTTCCCACAGGAATTTTGGCTTTTCCCACAGGAATTCCACCTTTTCTTGTTGGAATTTTGGCTTCTCCCACAGGAATTCCAGGTCTTCCAGCAGGAATTTTGGCTTTTGTCATGGGAATTCTGGGAAATTCCTGCAGGAATTTCACCTTTTTCCGTTGGAATTCTGGGGTTTCCCCACAGCAATTCCAGCTTTTCCCACAGCAAAAAAAAAAAAAAAAAAAATCCCGGAAATCCCGGAAATTCTCAGCCCTTGGGATGTGGGGGAAACGGGAAGGAGATAGGTGGGAAAAGAATAATCAGGAAAATCGGGGAAATTGGGAAAATTTGGAATAAATACAGGAATTTGGGTTCAGAATTCCCAAGGTTTTAGATGGGATGAGGAAAAAATCGTGGAATTCCAAACCCTTGGGATGGCGGAAGTACAGGGGCAGAGTGGCGAGAAAAGGAAAATTGGGAAAATCGTGAAAATCAGGAATAAATGCAAGAATTTGGGCTGGATTTATCCTCAGAATTCCCAAGGTTTCGGAAGTCACGACGAGAGAAAAATCCTGGAATTCCAAACCTTTGGAATGTGGGGAACATGGGGAGGAGATCGGTGGGAAAAGAAAAAACAGGAAAAAATCAGGAATAAATGCAAGAATTTGGGCTGGATTTATCCTCAGAATTCCCAAGGTTTCAGAAGTCATGATAAGGGAAAAATCCTGGAATTCCAAACCTTTGGAATGTGGGGAACATGGGGAGGAGATCGGTGGGAAAAGAAAAATCAGGAAAATCAGGAAAATCAGGAATAAATGGAAGAATTTGGGCTGGAATCATCCTCAGAATTCCCAAGGTTTCGGAAGTCACGACGAGGGAAAAATCCTGGAATTCCAAACCTTTGGAATGTGGGGAACATGGGGAGGAGATCGGTGGGAAAAGAAAAATCAGGAAAATCAGGAAAATCAGGAATAAATGGAAGAATTTGGGCTGGAATCATCCTCAGAATTCCCAAGGTTTCGGAAGTCACGACGAGGGAAAAATCCTGGAATTCCAAACCTTCGGAATGTGGGAGAAACAGAAGGAGAATTTGGGCTCAGAATTCCCAAGGTTTTAGAGGATGGGATGAGGGGAAAATCCTCGAATTTTCCAGGTTCCGTGGGATTTTGGGATTTCCATGGGAATTCTGCCTTTTCCCATGTCAATTCCAGCTCTTCCAGAGTGAATTTTGCCTTTTTCCTCCATCGTTTCCCTGGGAATTTTGGGTTTTTCCTGTGGAAATTCCAGGGTTTTCCATGGAAATTCCAGCTTTCATGAATTCCACCTTTTCCCACAGGAATTCCAGGGTTTTTTTGCAGGAATCCCTGCTTTTCCTTGGGAATTCTTGAGGGAATTCTGGGGTTCTCCTGCAGAAATTCCACCTTTTCCCACAGGAATTCCAGGGTTTTTTTGCAGGAATCCCTGCTTTTCCTTGGGAATTCTTGAGGGAATTCTGGGGTTCTCCTGCAGGAATTCCACCTTTTCCCAAGGAAATTCCACCTTCTCCCACAGGAATTCCAGGTTTTCCTGCTGGAATTTCAGCTTTTCCTTGGGAATTCTTGAGGGAATTCTGGGGTTTTCCTGCAGGAATGCCGCCTTTTCCCAAGGAAATTCCACCTTCTCCCACCAGAATTCCCCTTTTTTCCCACAGGAATTCCACCTTTTCCTGCTGGAAATTCCAGCTTTTTCCATGGAAATTCCAGCTTTCCCCGTGTGAATTCCACCTTTTCTCACAGGAATTCCGCCTTTTCCTACGGAAATTCCAGCTTTTTCCATGGAAATTCCACCTTCTCCCACAGGAATTCCAGGTTTTCCTGCTGGAATTTCAGCTTTTCCTTGGGAATTCTTGAGGGAATTCTGGGGTTTTCCTGCAGGAATTCCGCCTTTTCCCAAGGAAATTCCACCTTCTCCCACCAGAATTCCTCTTTTTTCCTGGGGAATTCCACCTTTTCCTGCTGGAAATTCCAGCTTTTTCCATGGAAATTCCAGCTTTCCCTGTGCGAATTCCACCTTTTCCCACAGGAATTCCAGGTTTTCCTGCAGGAATTCCACCCTTTCCCTTGGAAATTCCTGGTTTTCCATTGGGCATTCCGCCTTTTCCTGCTGGAAACGCCACCTTCTCCCACAGGAATTCCAGGGGTTTTTTTCAGGAATCCCTGCTTTTCCAGCAGGAATGCCATCTGTTCCCTTGGAAATTCTTGGTTTTCCATTGGGAATTCCGCCTTTTTTGCTGCTGGAAATTCCAGCCTTCCCTGCCTCAAATCCCACCTTTTCCCACAGGAATTCCAGGTTTTCCTTGGAAATTTCAGCTTTTCCTTGAGAATTCTTGAGGGAATTCTGGGGTTTTCCTGCAGGAATTCCACCTTTTCCCAAGGAAATTCCTGGTTTTCCATTGGGAATTCCGCCTTTTCCCGCTGGAAACTCCACCTTCTCCCACAGGAATTCCGCCTTTTCCTGTGGAAATTCCAGCTTTTTCCATGGAAATTCCACCTTCTCCCACAGGAATTCCAGGTTTTCCTGCTGGAATTTCAGCTTTTCCTTGGGAATTCTTGAGGGAATTCTGGGGTTTTCCTGCAGGAATTCCGCCTTTTCCCAAGGAAATTCCACCTTCTCCCACCAGAATTCCTCTTTTTTCCTGGGGAATTCCACCTTTTCCTGCTGGAAATTCCAGCTTTTTCCATGGAAATTCCAGCTTTCCCCCTGTGAATTCCACCTTTTCCCACAGGAATTCCAGGTTTTCCTGCAGGAATTCCACCCTTTCCCTTGGAAATTCCTGGTTTTCCATTGGGCATTCCGCCTTTTCCTGCTGGAAACGCCACCTTCTCCCACAGGAATTCCAGGGGTTTTTTTCAGGAATCCCTGCTTTTCCAGCAGGAATGCCATCTGTTCCCTTGGAAATTCTTGGTTTTCCATTGGGAATTCTGCCTTTTTTGCTGCTGGAAATTCCAGCCTTCCCTGCCTCAAATCCCACCTTTTCCCACAGGAATTCCAGGTTTTCCTTGGAAATTTCAGCTTTTCCTTGAGAATTCTTGAGGGAATTCTGGGGTTTTCCTGCAGGAATTCCACCTTTTCCCAAGGAAATTCCTGGTTTTCCATTGGGAATTCCGCCTTTTCCTGCTGGAAACTCCTCCTTCTCCCACGGGAATTCCGTGGTTTTTTCTGCTTTTCCCTGAGGAATTCCGCCTTTTCCCGTGGAAACTCCTCCTCCTCCCACCGGAATTCCTTGGTTTTTTCCACTTTTCCCTGAGGAATTCCGCCTTTTCCTGTGGAAACTCCACCTTCTCCCACCGGAATTCCGTGGTTTTTCCACTTTTCCCTGAGGAATTCCATTTCCAGCTGGAATTCCATCTTTTCCCGCTGGAAACTCCACCTCCTCCCACCGGAATTCCATGTTTTTTTCTGCTTTTCCAGCTGGAATTCCATCTTTTCCCGCTGGAAACTCCACCTCCTCCCACCGGAATTCCATGTTTTTTTCTGCTTTTCCAGCTGGAATTCCATCTTTTCCCGCTGGAAACTCCACCTCCTCCCACCGGAATTCCATGTTTTTTTCTGCTTTTCCAGCTGGAATTCCATCTTTTCCCGCTGGAAACTCCACCTCCTCCCACCGGAATTCCATGTTTTTTTCTGCTTTTCCAGCTGGAATTCCATCTTTTCCCGCTGGAAACTCCACCTCCTCCCACCGGAATTCCATGTTTTTTTCTGCTTTTCCAGCTGGAATTCCATCTTTTCCCACTGGAAACTCCAGCTTCTCCCACCGGAATTCCTTGTTTTTTCCCGCTTTTCCCTGAGGAATTCCACCTTTTCCCGTGGAAACTCCTCCTTCTCCCACCGGAATTCCGCGTTTTTTTTCCGCTTTTCCCTGAGGAATTCCGCCTTTTCCCGCTGGAAACTCCTCCTTCTCCCATGGGAATTCCGTGGTTTTTTCTGCTTTTCCATTGGGAATTCCATCTTTTCCCGTTGGAAACTCCACCTCCTCCCACCGGAATTCCGCGTTTTTCCCGCTTTTCCCCGGGGAATTCCGCCTCTTCCCAGCACCTTCTCCCACCGGAACTCCGCGGGTTTTTTTTCCCCCGCTTCTCCCCCGGGGGGGAATTCCGCCTTTTTTCCATCCGGGAATTCCCGTTTTTCCCCGCACCTGGAGGCGCCGGGTTTGAGGCCCAGCGCTTCCCAGCTGTCCTTGCTGTTCCGGATCCGCCGGATGGCGTCCGCCTGCTCCCGCGTGAAGCTGATCCCGGAGCCGCCCGGCGGCCGCTTCCCGCCGTTCTCGCACAGATCCACGATGGCCGAGTAGAAATTCTGGGAATTCCCGGCGGGAATCAGCCCCGCCTCCTCTCCCGGGAAAGGTTTGGGGTTGGTTGGTTGGGATTATTCTGGATTATTTGGGATTATTCTGGATTATTCGGGAACGGGCGCGGCGGGAGGTGGGATTCAGATCCCGGGGATAAGCGTGGAGGAGATTCCCACAGGGCGATCCTGGAAATCCTCCATTCCCTTCCCAAGGTTTTCCAAGGAAAATCCCGGATCCAATTCCCAGCCCTTCAAATCCCAACAATCCCAGATCCATTTTCCAGGATGATCCCGGGAAAATCCCGGATCCAGACCCCAGTCCCTTCCCAGGACATTCCCAACAATCCCAGGTCCAATTCCCAAACTTTTCCAAGGAAAATCTTGGATCCAAATCCAAAAAACTTCCCAGGGCGATCCCGAAAATCCTGGATTCAATTCCCAAGGTTTTCCAAGGAAAATCCCGGATCCAATTCCCAGCCCTCCCCAGCACATTCCCAACAATCCCAGATCCCATTCCCAGCCCTCCAATCCCAACAATCCCAGATCCAATTCCCAGGAAAATCCCGGATCCAGACCCCAGTCCCTTCCCAGGACATTCCCAACAATCCCAGGTCCGATTCCCAAACTTTTCCAAGGAAAATCTTGGATCCAAATCCGAAAAACTTCCCAGGGCGATCCCGAAAATCCTGGATTCAATTCCCAAGGTTTTCCAAGAAAAATCCCGGATCAAATTCCCAGCCCTTCAATCCCAACAATCCCAGATCAAATTCCCAGGAAAATCCCGGATCCAGACCCCAGTCCCTTCCCAAGACATTCCCAACAATTCCAGGTCCGATTCCCAAACTTTTCCAAGGAAAATCCTGGATCCAATTCCCAGCCCTCCCCAGCACATTCCCAACAATCCCAGATCCCATTCCCAGCCCTCCAATCCCAACAATCCCAGATCCAATTCCCAGGAAAATCCCGGATCCAGACCCCAGACCCTTCCCAGGACAATCCCAAAAATCCCAGATCCAACTCCCAGCCCTTCAATCCCAACAACCCCAGATCCAATTCCCAAATTTTTCCCAAGGAAAATCCAGGATCCAATTCCCTGCCCTTTAATCCCAAACATTCCAGATCCCAATCCCAGGGTCCACACAGGACATTCCCAACAATCCCAGACCCGCTTCCCAAAACTTCCCAGGAAAATCCTAGACCCAACTCCCAGCCTCTTCCCAGGGCAATCCTAAAAATCCCGGATCCAATTCCCAGGACGATCCCAGATCCAAATCCCACAGGACAGTCCAGATCCCATTCCCAGCCCTTCAATCCCAACAATTCCCATTAAATTCCCAGATTCAGCCCCCAGACCCTTCCCAGAACAATCCCAAAAATTCCAGATCCCATTCCCAGCCCTTTAATCCCAACAATCCCAGATCCAAATCCCAAACTCTTGCCAGGAAAATCCCAGATCCAAATCCCACAGGACATTCCCAACAATCCCAGATCCCATTCCCAGCTCTCCAATTCCCAACAGTCCCAGATCCAATTCTCAAACTTTTCCAAGGAAAATCCCGGATCCAACTCCCAGCCCCTTCCCAGGAAAATCCTGGATCCAATTCCCAGCCCTCCCACAGGACATTTCCAGCGATCCCAGATCCAGCTCCCCCAGCACATTCCCAACAATCCCAGATCCAATTCCCAGCCCTTCAATCCCACCAATCCCAGATCCAATTCCCAAAACTTCCCAGGAAAATCCCGGATCCAACTCCCAACCCCTTCCCAAGGTGATCCCAAAAATCCCAAATCCAATTCCCAAACCTTTTCCCAGGAAGGTCCTGGATCCCATTCCCAGCCCTTCCCAGGACATTCCCAAAAATCCTGGAATCTTTTCCAAGCCCTCCTGGAGCCATGGCTCCCTTGGGAATGCCCCCATTCCCACATTCCCAATCCCACTGCCCAACTCCCTGTCCCATGGGAATTCCCGTCTCTTCCCACCTCCAAATTCATTCCCATTGGGAAGTCCCACCTGGAATTCCCACTTGGGACATCTCCCAGGATTCCCACCAGGAACATCTCCTGGAATTCCCACCCAGAACATCTCCTGGATCGCTCCAACCCCTCCCTTTATCCCACATTCCCACCCCAAATCCCGCCTGGAATTCCCACCTGGGACACCTCCCACAATTCCCACCTGGAATATCTCCCTGAATTCCAGGAATTCCCACCTGGAACATCTCTTGGATCGCTCCCAGCCATCCCTCCATCCCACATTCCAACCCCAGATCCCACCTGGAACATCTCCAATATTCCCAGCCAGATTCCACCTGGGAATTCCCACCTGTAATTCTCAGAATTCCCACCCGGAACATCTCCCAGAATTCCCACCTGGAACATCTCCTGGATCGCTCCCACCCATCCCTTCATCCCACACTCCCACCCCAAATCCCACCCGGAATTCCCAGCCGGAACATCTCCCAGGGAATTCCCAGCCAGAATTCCTGGAATTCCCAGCATTCCCACCCGGAACACCTCCTGGATCGCTCCCACCCACCCCTTCATTCCCACCCCAATCCCACCTGGAACATCTCCAACATTCCCACCCAGGATTTCCAACCTAGAATTCCAGCAATTCCCACCCGGAGTTCCCAGCCGGAACATCTCCCAGGGAATTCCCAGCCGGAACATCTCCCAGGGAATTCCCAGCCGGAACATCTCCCAGGGAATTCCCAGCCGGAACATCTCCTGGATGCCCTCCCCACTCTGGGCCCAGGTCTCCCAGTGGAGGAGGAACCCGCAGCTCCCACCCCTCCCTGCATCCCACATTCCCACCCCAAATCCCAACCGGAATTCCCAGCCGGAATTCCTGGAATTCCCGGCATTCCCGGCCCTCGTTCCCACCTGGAACATCTCCTGGATGCCCTCCCCGCTCTGGGCCGAGGTCTCCCAGTAGAGGAAGCCGCGGCTCTCGGCCCAGAGCCGGCCCTCGCTCTCGTCCACCACGCGCAGCTTGCCCGCGTCCACCTGAGCGACGGACAGACGGACAGAGGGAACGGTGAAAACAGCGGGAAGGGACGGCGGGAATGAAGGGACGGCGGGAACGGACGGACGGTGGGAACGGACGGCGGGAATGAATGGTGGGAATGAACAGCAGGAATGAACGGCGGGAATGAAGAATGGGAATGAATGGTGGGAATGAACGGCGGGAGTGAACAATGGGAACGAACAGTGGGAATAAACAATGGGAACGAACAGCATGAGTGAACGGCGGGAATGAATGAACAGCGGGAGTGAACAACGGGAATGAACAGTGGGAATGAACAATGGGAACGAACAGCATGAGTGAACGGCGGGAATGAATGAACAGCGGGAGTGAACAATGGGAATGAACAATGGGAATGAACGGCGGGAGTGAACAATGGGAATGAATGGCAGGAGTGAACAACAGGAATGAACAGCGGGAGTGAACAATGGGAATGAACAGCGGGAGTGAACGGCGAGAATGAACAATGGGAATGAACAATGGGAACGAACAGCGGGAATGAACAACGGGAATGAACAATGGGAATGAACAGCGGGAATGAACCATGGGAATGAACAGCGGGAATGAACAATGGGAATGAACGGCGGGAATGAACAACAGGAATGAACAGCGGGAATGAACCATGGGAATGAACAATGGGAATGAACAGCGGGAGTGAACAATGGGAATGAACAACAGGAATGAACAGTGGAAAACAACGGCAGGAGTGAACAGCAGGAAAGAACAATGGGAATTAACAGTGGGAGTGAACAATGGGAATGAACGGCGGGAATGAACAAGGGGAATGAACGGCGGGAATGAACAGCGGGAGTGAACAACGGGAATGAACAGCGGGAATGAACAATGGGAGCGAACAGCAGGAGTGAACAGCAGGAAAGAACAATGGGAGTGAACAGTGGGAATGAACAATGGGAATGAACGGCGGGAATGAACAACAGGAATGAACAGTGGGAATGAATGAACAGCGGGAATGAACGGCGGGAGAACAGCAGGAAAACAACGGAAGAGCAATGGGAAAAAATGAGAAAACAACGGGAAAACAACAGGAAAACAACGCGAGAACAATGGGAGAACAAAACAACAGGAAAACAGCGGGAGAACAATGGGAAAACAAAGCAATGGAAAAACAACGAGAGAACAACGGGAGAACAACGGGAAAACAGCGGGAGAACAACAGGAAAACAAAACAACGGGAAAACAGCGGGAGAACAATGGGAAAGCAACGGAAAACAACGGGAAACAACGGAAGAACAAAACAATGGAAAAACAATGGGAAAACAACGGGAAAACAATGGGAGAACAATGGGAGGACAGCGGGAATGATTAAAAGAACGGTAACAACAAAAACATCAGGAAAATAAGTAAACACCGGGAAAATGAATCCCACCGATACAGTGAGGAAAAAAGAATTCCCCTCCCACGGGATTTGGTCGGGATCAAAGCCCGTCAGCCTCTCCGGAATTCCCGGAATTCCCACAATTCCTAACAACTCTGGATCTGGCCAGGAAAAATCCCTGGGAACGGCTCCAGAATTCCCAGAATCTCCGGAATTCCCACAATTCCCACAATTCCTAACAACTCTGGATCTGGCCAGGAAAAATCCCTGGGAATGGCTCCAGAATTTGGAAAAACAATGGGAAAAGAGCGGGAGAACAAAACAACGGGACAACAATGAGAGAACAATGGGAAAATAACGGGAGAACAACGGGAAAACAATCACAGAACAACGGGAAAACAACAGGAAAATAACGGGAGAACAATGGGAGAACAAAACAACAGGAAAACAGCGGGAGAACAATGGGAAAACAAAACAATGGGAAAACAACGAGAGAACAACGGGAGAACAACGGGAAAACAAAACAATGGGAAAACAACAGGAAAGCAATGGGAGAACAACGGGAGAAAAATGGGGGGGAACAGGAGAACAACGGGAGAACAAAACAATGGAAAAACAATGGGAAAACAACGGGAAAACAATGGGAGAACAATGGGAGGACAGCGGGAATGATTAAAAGAACGGTAACAACAAAAACATCAGGAAAATAAGTAAACACCGGGAAAATGAATCCCACCGATACAGTGAGGAAAAAAGAATTCCCCTCCCACGGGATTTGGTCGGGATCAAAGCCCGTCAGCCTCTCCGGAATTCCCGGAATTCCCACAATTCCTAACAACTCTGGATCTGGCCAGGAAAAATCCCTGGGAATGGCTCCAGAATTCCCAGAACCTCCAGAATTCCCACAATTCCCATCCAGCCAGGAACAAAGCCCCACAACAGTTCAGGAACCTCCAGAATTCCCCTCCCACGGGATTTGGTCGGGACCAAACGCCGTGAACCTCTCCGGAATTCCCGGAATTCCCGGGAATTCCCGACCTTGTTGGCGCAGACGGCGAAGACGACGTTGTCCAGGCTGCCGTGGGGCCCCAGCTCGCGGCGCATCTCGGCCAGCCACGAGTCGAGCGCCTCGAAGGAGTCCTTGGAGCCCACGTCGTACACCAGCAGCACGCCCTGCGTGTCCCGGTAGAACTCGTTACGGACCTGCAGGAAAATTGGGGAAAAATTAATTTTAATTAATTGTGTAATGATTCATTAATGTAATGTTATAATTAAATAATGTGATGTAATGTAAAGTGAAGGAGTCCTTGGAGCCCACGTCGTACACCAGCAGCACGCCCTGCGTGTGCTGTAGAACTCGTTAGGAACCTGGGAAATTGGGGAGAAAAGGGGAAAAACAATGGGAAAAATGATGGTTTTAATTAATTACATAATGATTTATCAATATAATGTTATAATAAAATAATAAAATGTAATTCAATGCAGTGTGAATGGTCCCTGAGCCCATGTGGTGCACCAGCAGCACCCCTTGGTGTGCCGGTAGAACTCGTTAGGAACCTGGAAAATCGGGGAAAAAAGGGGAAAAATAATGGGAAAAATGATGGTTTTAATTAATTATATAATGATTTATTAACGTAATGATAGAATAAAGTAATGTAATGAGATGTAATGTAAAGTGAAGGAGTCCTTGGAGCCCTCGTGGTGCACCAGCAGCACCCCTTGGTGTGCCGGTAGAACTCGTTAGGAACCTGGAAAATCGGGGAAAAAAGGGGAAAAACAATGGAAAAATTATGGTTTTAATTAATTATATAATGATTTATTAACGTAATGATAGAATAAAATAATGTAATGTGATGTAATGTAAAGTGAAGGAGTCCTTGGAGCCCACGTGGTGCACCAGCAGCACGCCCTGCGTGTCCCGGTAGAACTCGTTAGAAACCTGGAAAATTGGGGAAAAAAGGGGAAAAATGATGGTTTTAATTAATTATGTAATGATTCATTAATGTAATATTATAATGAAATAATGTGATGTAATGTAAAGTGAAGGAGTCCTTGGAGCCCACGTCGTACACCAGCAGCAGCCCTGCGTGTCCCGGTAGAACTCGTTACGGACCTGCGGGAAAATTGGGAAAAATGATGGTTTTAATTAATTACATAATGATTCATTAATGTAATGTTATAATGAAATAACGTGATGTGATGTAAAGTGAAGGAGTCCTTGGAGCCCACGTGGTGCACCAGCAGCACGCCCTGCGTGTCCCGGTAGAACTCGTTAC